GTAACTTAGTACATTTACTCATGCATTATGGAAAGGAGAAGAAACATTTCCAAATTGGCCCCCCGTCCAGTACAAACCTGTCCTGACAAATCATTTAATCTGTCCAGAAGTCAGTGTAAACTGTCACAAAAGTATTGTTATCTCTTTACTGTTGTATTGCCATCCATAGCAGTTATTGACAAACAATTAAAATGTTTAGGAAATAAATTGTAGTTTTTTTAATTCAATATATCAATCAATTAACTCATACGTCCCAATGACACAAATCATAAATTGCCTCGGGGGGCTTTCATACAGTTTGTCCTTCGACTGTTGCAGCTGGCAAGAAAGAACTCCCCATAAGAACCCTTAAAATAAGTATAGGCTTTGAACAATCTTGGTAGTTTTAGTTTATAATTAGGGTGTAAATGCGCTTACACTTTTCTCTCACTTCTCACGAATCTGGAAACTTTAACGTTAAAAAAATAAAATAAACACAAATTCACAACATTCTCAAGTTTGACCCCAACTTCCTCCCGTAATTCCAGCATGGGATTTTACGATGAATTGTCTGTGACGGCTGGTTTGTTGATGCTTTGAGTGTCATTTTTGGACTTCATGCCATTACATCATAAATCATCAGAGCAAGGCTGATAAGTTATAACAAAATAAACAAACTCTCTAATTTCTCTTAACAGTGTGTAATACATTTCTTCATAACACCACAAATATTTTTGTTTTATTTCCACCCAAAAAACAAGACAATGGTAGTATTTTAGACATATGATTAGTCACAGATTATTATGTGATTTTTAAACTAATTGACAAGTAATTCATTCACATTTCTGAGAATCTGCATAAATCAGTTTAAAGGAATAACAATATGGTTTGAATAAAATGCGCTTTTTGATGTCTTTTATACATAAATATGTATCCCCGTTGTGTAAGGAGACTCACAAAGTGTCAGAAAATAAAACCCTCTCTCTTTTCCTCTTTACCCACATCTCTAAAAACGGAGGTATAACGGAGCTGATCCAGATTTGCTGCCGATATGACGTCATATCGGAAATGTGGGCTGGCTTTACACCCAGGACCCTATCAGAAACGTTGCTATCTGAAACAATTCACAACGTGTTTTGGAATTAATATGGTCTGTGTTTACATTAGCAAGCATCGCTAACACTCAGAGCAAACGCTGTACTGGAGAGAATATATGTAAAAAAGCAGGAAATAAAAAGGTACTCACCTTGTAGTAAACCCGCGAGAGAAAAAGCATTTGAGCTCCATACCGTTACAGAAATAATCCTTGTTGTGGTTTGGAACATAATATGGCGTTTAATCACGGCAGCATTTAGCTGAGTATCTAAGTAGAAACCTCTATTCACAGAGGAGAGCTCATACATGCAAGGGGCGTGGCCAGAAGCAGCTCTGCAACATTTAAAGCTACTGACCCAGAATCAGCACTTCTCTAATGCTGCGTTCACACCGGACGCGATGCGAATATTCGCATCGCTCTAATCGCTGGAGTTTCACCGCGGCTGTCAGCTGTATATATTTGTGTCATTCAAGCAAGACGCGCTGGCCAGGGGGCGGGGCCTATATCCATGTAAATACTATGGTAGATGCCAACTACAACTAAATTAACATATTTTACCGTGATTTAATTGTAATACGCGTTTCAAAATGATGCCGGAATGACTACATACTGATACTGGTTAGTAAAAACCATGAATTAATGCTTTGACAAGTGTGCAGACAAGACGGCAGGCGAAAAACCTTTTAAAATGCGTGTTTTCTGAATGTAGATCGGATCGATCAGGCTAAGCTAACGTTGTATATGCTCCCTCCACACTCACAACAACGGCCTATACAGACATAAATAAACCAGCGACTGTATTCTCCATGACACAGACAGTCTGTGGTTTGTACTTGTTTAACTTTTGCATCGTTTTTGAACAGATATGAGGAGCTGTGAGCTCTGAGTGCTAACAGCTAACGGCTGATGTTTTGGTTTTCTGGTTCAACGTCAGTGACAGCAGGCTGAGATCCTCACTGCTGATTGGCTACCGCGCGAACGCGTCATGCGAATTTGACGCTCGAGTTGAAAAAATTCAACTCGAGCGATTATCGTGGCCCCCGTCAATCGCCTCAATCACGCTGTGGCATTCGCGTCAACCGCGTCATGTGCGCCGTCGGAGTGAATTTACGTCTGTCCGCATCTTTGCATTGACTTTACATGTAATCGCGCCGGCCCCAAAAATCGCATCGCGTCCGGTGTGAACGCACCATAACAGGGCTGAAATAGAGGGGTATGAGGCAGGGCTAGAATGGGTGATCTGTTTGGTATTTTTAGCAAAACACTTCAGAGACATGTTTTTTTTATATATCCAAGATCTATAATATATGCCTAAAAATAGTATAATATGAGACCTTTAATACAGGGCCCCTTTGTAGCCTTATTAGCCACATTTAGTATCCCTGCCTGGCATTGATTGACCCGAGAAGTTTTAAGGGTCACTCTGATTGGCTGGCTGAGCGTGCGCAGGGAATCCCTCAGGGCGCTCTTTGTCTCAGATTAAAAACACAAACAGAGCAGTCAGGCCTCACCGCCCCAGGCAGTCCTCCAGCCTGCTGTAGGAGGCAAAAAGTTCAGCTGCTGTTTTAAAGACCATAAATCTGCCTTTCCACTGTGAGTCTGTTGATACATGTTCTGCAGCTGTAACAATAAATGTACCTGCACTGTTAGAGGAAGTTCTCTGATCTTTTAGTAAAAGCTGCAATACTATGTTGTAAAAATACTCTGTAAAAGGTAAAATAACCGCATTAAAACCTTACTAAAAGTAAAAGTAGAAGACTATTTGCACCAAAATATACTGAAAGGGGAAATATTATGCAAATGTTTAGGTTCTTATTTGTATTTTTCGCCTCTACTGTGACATTTTTAGATGCTTTGATGTTGAAAAAGGTCTTTATTTTTCTCATATAAAATCAAATCAAGTTTTATTTATATAGCACATTTTTAAAACGATTTTTGGTCGAGCCAAAGTGCTGTACATACAGTAAAAATACTTTACAATAAAGACACTTTACAACAAATACAACAGCACAGTTTGTACAGAATATCAGTATGAGAAAACGACACCCTCTGTCCTTAGACCCTCACATCGTACAAGGAAAACTTCCAGAAAAACCCCACAGTTTAAAGGGAAAAATGGAGAAACCTCAGGGAGAGCAACAGAGGAGGGATCCCTCTCCCAGGACGGACAGACGTGCAATAGATGCCGTCTGTAAATCGAAGAGATAATACATTTTACAGCATAGGTAGACCAAATGTTTGGAAATGCATGTGTCTATAATAAGAAGATGAATCCACGAGGATGTCAACAATCCTGTGGGAGCCATCAGGGAAGCAGCATGACGAGAGCCAGGCAGGACCGCAGAGACCGGTTCAGCCACGACTCGAAGTCCAGGACTCAATCCAGAACTCAGGATAGAGGATCCAGGACACAGGACCACAGCAACAGGATCAGCCACGACTCAGGATCCCGGCGTAGATATAGACACCAAAAAGAAATTTGGGGGAAGCTGGGTTATTCGGAACATGAGAGTACACAGGTACAGACAGACAGAAGGAAGAAGTAAGGTGTCCCCCGACAGTCTAAGCCTATAGCAGCTAAACTAATGTGTCTACGTACATGCACTCCCTTAGGATAGGTTGAGGGAAAAGGGTAGCAAGTAAGAAGTAAGAAACAGAGGTGGAGAGGCACACGCAGGGAGCAAGGTCCCCACTGGAACCTTAATTGGAATTGGTGAGAGGTAAGGACATACTGCCTGTGATTGTTAGATGGCTGTTCCTCTGTTGTGATCACGTACAATGTGTTGAAGCACTGGCCAATAGAAGTGCAAGTGTTACACAGTAAAGATGTCATTATGTTACAGAAGTAAAGTAGAGAAACTCCCTCTGGAGGGAACACAGGGATTTCAGTGTTTTCATACCATTTACATGCACAAAAAAACTATTAAACATAATATTGGAAAGGAAAAACCCCAAAAAGCACAATAGGGCCCCTTAATATTTCACCTGATAGGCTCGGAGTAAATTGCTTTGTTTGCTTATACTAGAGTGGAATAACTAACACCTGTCTGATTTTGGTGAGATGATGACCAATCGGGTGCCAAATCCAGCAGCCAAAGCACCAGCTCTGCCAGGTTTAGATGCCCCCTTTAAAAGTGAAAGTACTAGTACCCACTATATACTTCAACTCTTTTACATTTTTATACCAATTTTGTAGCTGTCTAAATGTATCTGACAACTTTAGTTACTACTTACATGCACATCAGAGTTTAAAAAACCTATAATGGTCTTATAAAACAAAGAGCAAATGTTATACAGTAAATGAAGCCACCGGACATAACAAAGTGTAACAACGTTCTCTACCTCAGTTGGCTGCAATATTTAAAAGCTACTTGCATCCATAATGTTTTCCATAATATATATAGAGAGTACAGTTCACGAGTAAATAAACGTCACTCCCCCGGGTACCTGTAATATTTAACAAAGCAAAACAGAGTCAGAAAGAGAAGCAGAGGTGAACGAAGTAGCTCTTGTTTCACTGTAAGGCAGAAAGTGTATGGAGACTCAAAGAAAAATCCGGAGGTGAAGAATTCTGCTGAGTTCATGTTGCAGAGGGTGGAGAAGTAGAGCAGGACGAATCAGGAGGGGAGAGTGAAGAAACAAATAAAAACAGGAAATAAAGTCCACAGCTGAAGAGGAGAAAGGTGTTGCAAGTTCATCAAGTAGAAAAAAGGGAAAGAAAGTGAAGTGTGACCAGAAAAAGACCTTGCAGTGACAGGCAAAAGAAAAGCTGATGTTTTGCAGCAGGGAGAAGATGAAAGTCTAGACGGTTAAATTGCAGGGGGCTGTGGAGAGGAGCGGTGGCAGGAGTAAGTGTGGGCGGGGGGAGAGGAAGTGTGGCCGACAGGGGAGGAATTTAAAGCCCCATTGTTCTGGAAGAGCAGAGGCAGAAGGAGCAGACACACTCCGGACGACATGGACGTGAGCGCAGCCATGGAGAAGGTAGGAAGCATTTACATCTGTGCAGCTGAGACTCTTATTCATAAATACTTCCAGATGTTCATCGGCACAGAGAGGAGGTCAAGGTTCAGAGGTGTAGATATTCTGTTGATGGAGGTCTGGAGACACTTCAATAAACCTTCTCTCTATCACAGCTGGTAGGATTTGAGCTGCTTTTAAAATCAGAGGTGGAAAAAGTACTGAAACGCTATGGTTTAAAATGTACAAGTACAATTCCAGGATTAAAAAATATGGCTCAAGTACAAGCAGTATTATCAGCAACGTGTACTTTAATGCTTTTCCAGAGGTATTTTAACAACATTTTGTGATATTTCTTCACCTTTTTTCTTTTAATGAAATGTCTTCTCTTCCATTTGTTTCTTGCGTGTTAATTGTCAGGTCACGCAAGACCTTGTTCAGAGAAAAATGTCTAAACAAAGTAAATTTTCCCGTATGAAATATGCCATTTCAGCATCAGAATATTCTTAAGATATGGATCTAATATTTACTGTGTTGATTGTGGGGCAAAGGAACAGGTCAAAAACTGTTTCCACGTTACTTCTCTCATTGGAGTTAATCAAATCAGACCTGCTGCTAGTCTCCTGAAGAAGTGGGGCAGTGGCAAAGAAAATGTACTCTCAGTACTTCTTCCTTGCTTTATAACAAGCTGTGTCCAACGCAGAGGCCATTTTTCGATTGCAATTTCTAGTTGGATAAATTATAAAAAATTAAAATAGACTCAAAGATGACCCCAACTTACTTAAACTAAATGATTTAATGGAATTTTAAAGGACACCTATCATGCTATATTTAAATGATATATTGTAGGGCCATACCTATATAAGGTATATTTATACGTTTCTGTTTTCAAAATACCAAACAGATCATGCATTTTAGCCATGCCTCATTTCGCTCTATGTGCTGTTTGCTGTCTACGGGGCTGATTCTGTGAGCTGCAGCTGACCACGCCCCCCTGCAGGAGAGGGGAGCCGTGCTCTGATCAAGTCAAGAGGGGGAGTAAAAAAAGATCTCCGTCCTCCGTGTTTTATTATATTATTATAGGCCTATAGAGTCGTTATTCATTTGTTTTAAAGCTCAATAAATAACAAAGAAGACCTTTGACCGGCACTTTTCTAATTTTGTCGGGAAGATTTAAACTTTAACGGACCGGCGAAACAAACTGAAACTGAAACTCTGCCTCACGGTCCCCTCGTTCCTTCGAAGAGGCGGAGAGGTGGGTGTTTGTCATCTGCTGGTGGACTAACCGGAGAGAATTACAGTGCTTGCCTCGACGGGGAGGGATTGCATTGAATTAAAGCAGCGGGAGCAAACGCTTGCCTCGGGGAGGGAGAAAAAAATCCACAGCGGAGAATAAACAGGGGGTTTGTTGGGCCACGGCCGGCAATGGCCGGCCGTGGCCCAACCCCACATTCCCCTGATAGGTGGAGAGTTGGCCCAATAGCCGTAGCGCCACTTTACTGACGTCAGTAAAGTGTTCAAATCTGGATCAGTTTTTATCAGATCCGTTGCAGCCCCTTTTTTAGAGATTTGGGTATGGAGGAAAATAGAGAGGGTTGTGTTTTCTGACACTTGGTGAGTTCCCTGGAACACCGGGGACACATATTCATGTATAAAAGACGTACAAAAGTGCATTTTGCATGATAGGTCCCCTTTAAGTAATAGAGCACTTCTTCCACCTCTGATTTGTATTTATCACGTTGGTTCTCTGACCTGCATTAGGCTCTTAAATATATGTTTATGTCACTTTGGATAATCTCCCAGGCTTGTTCTCAAACAGCTGGAGATTTGTAGTTCAGTCAGTGAAGGTAATCCACCATGACCTGATCCTCCCACTGGGTCGGTTCTGGCGCCGCTCAGATCCGTCCTCTGGTCGTTTGCTTAGAGGTCAGTGTGAGGAGGACAACCTGACGGATCAGTGTCACCTGTCGGGGGGGGGGGGGGGTCTGATCCTCCCTATCCCTCTGCTGGAAAAACTGCCATCACCAGGATGGAAATAACCCACCACACACACAATGTCTTTGGGTTTTGGACTGACAAAACAAGACATATAAAAACATCCCTTTGCACTGTACCAATTCTGATGACTTTTTTTCTGATAAAGAATAAGTTGCTTAATTAAGTTGAAAATAATCATCAGATTGTATGTATGTAACAGGCACAAAGAACGTTTACTGAGAACCTGTTAAACCTGTGTACAAGTTGTAGTTTGGTTGTTTTATGGTCATGGCAGTGAAAGATGAATTGTTCCTTTTTCAAAAAACATTGAGAATGGATTCCTTTCCACAGAGGAGTTCAAAGAAAGAATGTGTTTTAACATACAGTTTATAGGAAACAATCCTATCTTTCTCTCCCTGATATCTTTTGTTTACACTTTCAAATAGAGAATGTGCTCTTTACTGTAAATCTCAGCTCATTATGTAGCACAGGAAATACCCATGATGCCATGAGACCGAGTTCTGGACGTTAAAGAGGGTCACTCTCTACTTCTTTGACCTCCAGCCTTTTATCTCAACGTTTCCTGCTGTAACCGTCACATAGCCGACATGTTTGGCATTGCTCAGCTTCGCCTTATCTCACTCCTAAATATAGAGCTGACACACGTTTCCCTCTTTCTGAAAAAATGCATTTATAGTTTGGCTCATGTGTTATTTGGCCGACGCTCAGCAGCTAATAATACTGAACTGTTCCGCTTTCATGGTTAAAAAAGGAATGAAAGAGAGGTACAGGGATTCATGTGCTGAACTACAATGAATTGTTTACATAATAAATACATATTGTACTCAAACTATACTTCCTTTCATTTTAATTAAAAAACTGCAACTGCACACCTGTAAAATGTATATCCATTGTATATATTATGTTTCAGTAGTAGGTTGGTCAATACAGTTTATTTTAACTTATTATATTCTGTATATTTAAGTGTATTCTATTATCCTTCCACTGTTTATTTGTATACATTTTTTTATTTTGGGGTTAGAAGTTACATTTTATCACATTTTTGACTCATTTTGCAATGCCTTCTAAACGTGCTGCTGCATCAAATCAATTTACCAATATGGGATCATTAAATTAAATTAAATTTAATCTAATAATAGCTAATTTCCTTTCACAAAAGACAGTTATTTTGTCTTGAAGGACAACGTGTTATTTGCTGCAGATAAGAGACACATCACACACCAGAATATAAGAGCTCAATAGATAAGATGAACTCACCTTAGTATAAGCGTCAGCATTCTGGCCTGTTTTTGAACTTTCGATGCCACTTATTCTAATTTTCAGTGGATATAGGAATGTTTTACTACATAAATCTGTTTCCTTCCAGACATAACGTTACTGAATGCGAGATGCAACAGATTGTGTGTCATAATGCCACATTTGCAACAAGACAAACAGGGCAATGCCACTCAATCAGTTTTCTAAACAAGAACAGATACAAATCTTGACGAATTGAAGTATTTGGGAGCCACGCCTACCAACTGGGAAACTATATCAAAACATCTGTTTACAAACTCTCACACAATTAATACAGTAAAAACTAAGTTTATATTAAAGTTATGCTCACTTTTTCCCAAATACATGTCTTATTTTCATTTACGTTAGAGGCCTTTGTGTGGTTTCATTAAGTGTATGTGTGCATTATGATTCCATTATGCTCCTAATTTATTACTTCTAAATAAACACAGATAGGACAATATGATAATACAACTTCACAAAGAGACACACAAGGCCCCATGCAGAATAAATCGGAAAAGGACACTTGGGAAACCCTCATTTGGATGTGTGTTCACAGGTAAATTAGAACTTCTAGCAATCACAAAGGAATGATGTAGAGATCTGTCAATGTAACTCTGACTCATCGTTACCTGCATGACGTGCTGTGTTGTGATGCAGGATGAGTAACGGCTTTATTTCTTGTTAGTTTGGGGGAACTCTTGAGTCACGTCTGCTCTCACTGTGACTCCCACCAGTGTCACAGTGAGAGCAGACGCTCCGACAAAAACACACTTATACAAACAGTCTGCCTTTTCTACAGGAACAGAGGAGTTTTAGTGGGAGGTATCTTTAAACTTACTTCCTGGTAACCTTCAATGAAAGAAGCACTTCAATAAAAGTATTTGTACCACAAAATAAAAATAAAAATACTCTGTGTCCTGCATTCAAAATCCGTCTTAAACGGGCCCAGGGTTTCATATTTGTATGTTGTGCCTCTACTGGGACATGTCTCATGCTTTAATGTTCAAAAAGCTCTTTATTTGTCTCGTACTGTCTATATCTGTCTTTATCTGTCTTTATCTGTCTTTTCACCCTCTGTCTGAAACCAGAGCCCAGTCTGCTCTGATTGGTTAGCTGCTGGATCTGTTGTGATTGGTCAACCGCTTAGAGATATATAGCACACTACAGGGAAGGGAAAACTTTGAAAAGCATCATACGGTCTCTTTAAGTAAAAGTAAAAAAGTATTAGCTTCATAATATACGTAAATGACCAAAGGACTAATATGCAGAAAGGCCCAATTCAAGAATATTACAATATTGGTGACAATGATACATTTCTTTAATTGTGCAGCTGATAATGGAGCTTATTTAAATTACTTTATATTCTGCTGGGCAGTTTATATAATATAGTACTATATTATTGTATGAATTTTTTATCTTTCATAATTCAATAGTAGATTAATACTTGTAAATATATATTTTAAAGTAGCGCAAAACGTAGATACTCAAGAAAATACTTTAGAAATTGTACTTGAATACAGTACTTGAGTAAATGTAGCTACTTTCCACCACTGCTAGGACCACACTAACAGTTATAAACCCGTTCTGTCATTCAGTGTGTTCCTGAGGGATGTAATGACATTTCTTCTTCAGCTGTTTCTATTGCAGCCGCTGTCACTTTGACCTTTTCAACACAGACACATCAACAGCCTCTTCACCGTCACACACACATTACACACACACTCTCTTCATACCTCTAAACACACTCA